CTTATATTTCGTCGTCCATTATTTTGAATGCATTCAATCGGTCAATACGGTATTGCTTGGAGAATTATTATAATAAATATTTCGTGGAATTAACCATTAATTTGTTTTATCATGCCTAATATTATTTTACTAGTTATTTAATCGCCTTAAATTTTTACTCGGTGCCCAAATCCACATTACATATTTGATGGCTTATCTATTTTAATTAATTTTATTATAATCTATTTTACTGTCATTCCTCCATATTTTCCTTTCAGATTAATCCAATTGTCTCTTTCGCCATTTCTTTGACTCTCCCGCTTCCTCAACCAACCTTTCTTTCATCTCAAAGCCTTCAATTGCAACCTCGGCCTCAGCCAAGTCGACCCGTTACTATTCTTGCAGTAGCTATGCTTTCTGGACAGCTGGACGTCTATCGGCTTGATGAGCCTGACCTACCTTTCATTAGTCTTCTTCCACCTCATGACGAATCAGCCTCTTTACTACCTTCATCCTCTCCATCAAAATCTTCAATTCCTAATGCTCCTCTATATTTGATTCGACTCGCTTCTCTTCAAGTTCATAGCTCTCAAGGCGTCAATCCAACATCATCTGTTCTCATTTCTTCGAATTTGGAAACCAACTTGATCGATGTACCACATGCAAAACAAAGCATGATTGAGGACAGTGAGAAAGGGAACGCCGAAAACTCAGAGGTTTTTGATTCGACTCTGATGCGAACTTCAGATTGTACTGGAGACCAAAGAAAGCTTGCAAACGAAAGACAGGATGCTGTTCTATACCCTTCAAAAGAGAAGACAGAGAAAAAGAACCCGATAGTTTCAGGTCTTCCTGCTACTGCACGATCTGTGCTCTCAGTTCTACAGGCTTCCAGTCCTACAGAGAGGCCATCCGGCATCGCAACTGTTCTACCGACTTCTGCTGCGCACACTGTGCCACTACCGGCTTGTATCGTCAAACGTCGTCAGGTCTCTTTTCAGCCACTAGAAAACCCTATATCTGGTAGACTTGACTTGACCTGGGCTCCAGCTTCTATGAGATGGCCAGAACGCACAAGTCCTGATGTTCTGCCTATTCCCTCTCCCTTGCCACTTCCCCGGACATCCATTATTAAATGCGATGAATCGGAACCACTAGAGTCTAAGAAGGATCCACTGCGAGAGGAAGAATCTGATGATAGAGAGGCGAATGAGTCGGCTAGTTCGTTTGCGTGTATTGTCCGCGCAAATCGGCGCAACGCATCTTTCGGATGCTACCTCGATTTATCTTCTCTCTCGCATTCCTCTTGTCCACTTGAGGAAATAGATGAGTGTGCGAGCTCCAACCACCCAGCTAACCTACCTACAACACCAGCTCTAGGAAATACACTTACCACTGCCTGCACTCCCTTTGCGGCGCCACCGGTTTGTGGTATCGAAGGGTCTATGGTATGAGGAAATTGTTTACATTTTTATAATTATTTATTTTCATATTTATCACGGTCTCTAGCTGACCCAGAAATTCCTTCTCTAACGAAGTTCGATTTTGGAAAGTCACCATATGATCGGGGTTACTCATTTTCTGGGCTTTTTTCATCTCGTTCACAATTTACGTTTTTCTACTAAAGCTATGTATTACATAAGCCAGCTTAGAATTAATTTAACTGATAAAAAATTGTAAAGGGATAAAATAAGTTACATCCTTGGTGGATGTTTTCCTCGCACTTATACTACCTAGGATGGATTTAAGAAATTTGATTTTGCCCCTGAGTTTCAATGAATTTCCCCTACTTGTATTAAATTGCTGTTCCTCTATATTTCTATCAGGTTTTAACACTTAGACATGAGGTTTCAGTTTAGTATTTAGGTTGCAAATCCTGTGTAACTTTCAAGTCAAATCGGGCTCTGAGTTTCTACCATTGGATATTATTAAAGTTCCAATTCAATCATTTTGATTTTATGCAGGTATTTAAAGACTATGAGATAGATTAGAAGTGGGTTGACCTCGTTGTCGCAACTTGGTCTTGTGTTCAGGGAGACTATGTAGAACGCACC